ATTTATATATTTATATATTTATATATTTATTTTTTATATTTTTCATTTAATAATATTTTTAATATATATAAATATAATTCTATATTTTATTTAAAAATTATTATATTATTATATTATTATATTATTATATTATTGTGATTGTCTATGTTTTTCAATCTTTTTTTTATTTTTTATACTTTTGTCTTTTTTTAATTTTTTTTACTTTTTACACCTTATTTTTAAAAATTTTTTTTTTTTTTTTTATATTATTTTTTATAGTTACATTTTTAATATATATATTTTTTTTTAATCTATATATTTTAAATAAATAATTTTTTTTTATAATTAATTATATATTTAAAAAAGTTTTATAATTTTAATTTTTTTTTTATTTTTTTTTAATATTTTATTTATATATATATCTTTTTTTTTTATAAATAATGATTATAACCTGTTATTTTCGACAAATTATTTTGATGCATATTTTATATTAACTTAAATATATAATGTAAAATTAAAGTCTTATACATTAAATATCTTTTAAAATTTTAAAAAGTAAATTTTATAAAATAAATGAAATAATTATATTTTTTAAAAAATTTTAATAAAATTTTTAATGTCTAATCATTTATATTTATTATAAATTTAAATAAGTTTATTTTGTAATTAAATAAATTAATTTATAATATTTAGAATAATTTAGAAAAATATTAAAAATTTAAAAAAAAAGTGGTCAGATTTTATTAAAATGTAAAATTTTATAAATTAAGATAATTAAAATTCATCAAATAATAGAAAAATTAAAATTAAATTTTAGAAATAAGAAATTTTATAAAAATTCCAAAAAAACAATAATCAAGGTAAGAATTTTATTTTATGAATAATTATTTAATATTTATTTTAAAAACTAAATATGTATTTATATCTTAATATTTAAAAAAAAGATATATTAATATTTTGAAAATAAAGAACAAGTTTGATAAATTGCTGAAAATATATATTAGTCACAAAAATAGTTTGAATATAGTTTATATTGAAAATTAAAATAGTATGTTTTAGTCGTCTATATGAACAAAAAAAAAATATAATGTGATGAAGAAAATAATTTAATATTAAATAGAAAATAATGAATAATAAATTGATATAAAAAAATAAAAAAAAGATTTTTAATTCAAAATAATAAATAATAATAATAATTAAGATTTTAATTATAAAGTTAATAATAATAAAATAATTATAATTAAAAAAATTAGAGATCTAAAGAATTATGTAAAAAAATTATTTTTTAAAGTTAATAATATTTTAAAAAATTAGATTGAATAAATATTTTAATAAGAAAATATAGAAATAAACTAATAATTATTTAAAAGATTGTAAGAATAATAAATACGATATAATAATAATACATTTAATAATTAATCGTATATTATGAAGTTTAGAAATATTAATTAGATAAATGGTGAGATAATTTTATCATATTTATATTAAGCAAATTATAATGTATTAACAAAAACGGACACTATTGTTAATTAAAATAATATGTAAATTGGCAATCATTTTATATTCATTTTTTTATATTCATTTAAAAAGAAAAAAATAGTAAATAAAGAATGACTAACAAATATAAGCATTATTATTAATAATTAAACTTATTATTATTTATCTGATGAAAAAGAATATTTGTAGAGAAAATAAAAAATGATTGGAAAAAAGGAAAAGATAATAAAATAAATTAAAAAAAAACAAGAATAAACTTTTTTTATATTAATTGCTTTATTATTTCTTTTAAAAAAATATAAGTTTTTAATATATAAATTAACTACAATCTAAAAAAATTAATATTAATATAACTTTATAAAAATTAATAATATAATATTATTATAAATTAAAAAAATATTTAAATAATAATTAATATTATTATATAGTTTATTTTAAAAATAAAAAATTAAGCTTATAATTAAAATAATATTATTTAATATTTTTTTTATTTTTTCTCTAAGTTTAATAATGTTTTACTAAAATAAGTAAATTTTTTATATATTTTTTTGTAAATTTTATTTATTTTTAGTCATAGTAAAGATAAAATTAATATTTAAAAGTTTTTTCTTTTTTTTATAGTTATTCTAATATTAAAATATTATAATATTTGAACAAAATATTTATTATGATTTTTTTAAGACTCAGTATTAAAATAATTATTAATTTTTAGAAAATTATTTAAATTCATCCTTTTAGATATGTCAAAATATGATTGCTTATTTTTTAATTACTAACAAAAACTTTATCATTTTTATCAAATTATCTATGCATAAATTAAATAGATATAATAAAATTATTAACTAATAGAAAATAAGTTTTATTTATTTATTTTTATTTTTATTTAAATAAAAATGAGAAATATGGATAATTAGTTAAATAATAAAAAAATTATTTTATATCTCAAAAAATTAATAATTTGAGTTAATAAAATATAAATATTAAATTATTAAGTTAAAAAAAAAAATGTAATCTTATACAGCTTAATCTTCAGGATATTCAAATATTACAGCTTTAACTGATATTGAAGTAAAAATATTTATTCATTTCTATAATATCAAATAAAAAGGGTGCTAAGCTTGTTGCTAGAAGAATTTTCTAAAATTTCGATAAAGGAAACAAAGGAAGATTAGAAGGAGTAGACTGTGTTCCTATGATTGTCGAAGCTTATAAAACTTGCAATTAATATTATTCACCTTCCAGTGAAGATATTAAATAATACCATAGAGTTTTGGATAGAAATGGAGATGGATAGGTTACATATTAAGATATTGAAGAACTTTGTATTAAATATTTATGTGGATAATAAACAGTTTAAGTATAAGAATATGGAGGAGAAAAAGTAAAAAAAGCTGGAAAAAAACTTAGTATAATCCCGAAGTTGAAAGAAGACTTGACGTGGTAAGAATATTTTTATATTTGATTTGATTTAATTTTTTTTAAATTATATAGGCAAGAAGATTATTTTAAAAATATGATACTGATGGAAGTGGATTTTTAAGCGAAAATGAAGTTGTTGGATTAATTAAAGATACATATGCTGAAATGGGTATGAAAAATTATACTCCTAGCACTGATGATGTTAAAATTTGGCTTTAAATGAGCGATAGTAACTAAGATGGCACCGTTTCTTTGGAAGAATATGAAGATTTAGTAATTAAATCTTTGTAAAAAGCTGGTATTAAGGTCGAATAATAAAGGATAGTATTTTGATTTTCTTTTAACAAAAAATTATATGTAATATGGCTAATATATATATATTTATGTCTTTTTTTTAAGAATTTTTTTTAAATTATGCCATTTTATTTAAAAAGTTTTTTTGTTACGCTCACCTTGTTTTGATTTTTAATTAAAAAATAAATAGAAATATATACAATTAATTTAAAAATTTATTTAATATTATTATAACTTTTAATCAAAATATATTAAGTAAAAATTCTTTTAATAGATATATTCATAATTTAAGTTAATAGAAGCGTTTTAAATTTTTTTAAATAATTAAAATAATAAAATTAATTATTAAATATACTATTTTTTAAATTTCTATATTAAGAAATTTGATAACACTTTTTTAAAATTTTTTGATGTTTTGATTTTTTTTTTTAAAAAAAAAATTTTAAAAACAATTAAATTTTATAAATAATTTTAAAATAATATTTATTTTAAATGATTAAAATAAGTTCACTATTAAAAGAAGTTGATTTATTTAGCAGACCGATTGGTCTTCACATGAATAATTCTTTTTATTTTAAAACAAGTTTTGGTGGTTTTATGTCATTAATAGTAATAATTTTAGTTCTTTTGTTTTTTAATGCAAGTATTAAATCTTTCATAAATAAAGAAGAAGTATATGTAAAAGTAGATAAATAATACAATCCAAATCCATTCAAATCAATAATAAACACAAACAGATTCATGTTCTTTACAGCAATAACCTAGCCTGATTTTTTAGAAAAACCCCTTTTTAATATAACCGTGTACTAAAAAACATACATATGGGAAGGCAGTAAATAGATTCGCTAAAATAGAATTATAAATCTTGAACCTTGTTAAGATTACCATTTTGAAAATTTAAACTAAGAATTAAATTTTACAAATATTTTCCACTAATACGGTAAAAATTACCTATGTCCAACTTTGGAATCATAAATGTAGCTAGAAGGGATGTTTTCTAGCCCGGTATTTTCATTTTTAGAGGTAACTGTTTCCAAATGTATAACTCCTAACGATTCAAATTCAAAATGGAACCCAAAATGCCAATCTATAGAGGAATATAACATTTAAACTAATAATAAAGACGGTTTTTTTGGAATTGTTTTTTACCATAATAACTATGTACTTAACTCAGACTAGCCTTAAGGCTATTTCACTAATTTTCTTAACGATAAAATGTATTATACTTTTGTTCCGGATAAAATGACAAAAATTGCAGATATTTATTTCCAAGATATTGAAGTTAGAACTGATCATTCTTTAATTCCGATAAAAGATGTGGAATAAAGGTTTTTTTTAGTATAAGAAAATAACGACGTTAGAGAAGCATCTGAGTTGGGAAGAAGTGATGGTAAATATGTAGTTCTTACTTTAAGGAAAAGTCCTTATATTACAATTATTTAGAGAAATTATAAAAAAATATCACAATTAATGAGTGAATTAGGTGGTTTTGTTTAAATTGTTTTTACTGCTGTTGCTATATTAATGGTGAAATATAACAATATTAATTTTGTTTTAGAATTAGCTAATAAATTGTATTCATTTGAAATTAAAAATAGTAAAGATAAATAATATCAAAATACTGAAAATGAAATGGAAAAAATTATTAAAGAATAGTTTTAATAAAAAAATAATATGAATAAAATACAGTTTTATATGATTAAAAATGCAAATTGGATTTGCCAAATATTAAGTATAAATTTAGAAAGGCAATTAGGAAAATTAAAAATAAAGATTAGTTATATCTAAAGTATCTTCTAAAGGAATCTTAATATAAAGAAAATGTAAATAAATTTAAGTAATTAAAAGAAGTAAATAAAAAACAATTCTTAATAAATTAATTTAATAAATTATTGCTTAAAAAACAAACGTTAGAATTCGGAATAGGGTACTATATTTCAGTTTTAACATGTGGAAAAATATATAATACATATCGAAATTTATATATTAAAAAAGCTACATATTATATGAATAGAGATTTGGATATAGTTGCTGTTTTAGATAAAATATAATAAATTGATAAAATAAAAAATATTATTTTTGATGATAATTAATAATATCTGTTTGATTTTCATTAAAAACCAACAATCGCTTTCGAAGATAATAAAAATATGAAAAACGCAACAACTTTATTATAAGAGTAGAAAAAATATAATACGATTGATGCCTATAAATAATTATACAATTCATATCTAATTTTACAAAGTAAAAAATATTCGGATTCTAATTATTAATAAAATTAAAAGTTAATATAAAGTCTGGGGAGTTAAATGATTAATATTTTTTAACTTTCCTCAGTTATCAAAGAATACTAAAATAATAACAAATTAAATAATAATTAAGATAACAGAATGTCCATTTTTTAAAGTAATAATAAACTATAAAAATTAATTCAAAATAATATTTAAGCTCAAGAAATAGATTCCTAAAATCTAAAATAAAATTCAATATTATTAAATAATTAAATACAATTTGAAAGTAACATACAAAGTATTCCAATTAATATTTTAACTCCAAAATAATAACATTCAAGTATGGCATTATAATAAGATTTAAGATAAAAATAATAATCAATATTTTCAGTTTAAAATACAAAGAATATGTAAAAATAAAATAATTAAAACTATGAAATATCGTTGATTCAATAATAAAATAGTAATTCTAATTAAGAATTTTCCTCTAATAAAAATGAAAGTTAAGTAAAATAATAAAATTAATTATTAATACAAATTTAAAAAGATATAAATAATCTATATAAAATCTTCTAAAATAAGTAAAATTAAAGTAATGAAAATTAAATTAGTGAATTAAAATAAATTGATTAACTTTATAACAATTAGGGATTAATATTGTTTAGCAAGGAATAAATTGATGAAAGTAAAATATCTTATATGAAAGATAATTAGTAAAAATTATATGACATTGAATGAAAAAATCTAAGTACATACTTTAGTAAAAATAAATATTAAAATATTATAATTTATTTTTAATTTGTAAATGAATTCATTTAACCAAAAATATTAAAAATTAGAATTTTATTAAGCATTTTTAAAATAAATGCTAAAATTTTATTAATTTATAATAATTAACTAATATATTTTAAAAATTTAAAATTAATATAAATTAAAATACGTAATTATAAAAATAATATAACTATTAAGTTTTAATAAATGTAATTATAAATTAAATTATTATTAAAGAAAAAAAAGATACTGCAAATATAATAAATATAGAATAAAATTTAAATGTTAAATTTCATAATAAATATTATATTATATAATATTATTTAAATTTATCAAAATAATAAAAATTAATTTAAGTATTTTCATAAATATTTTTATCTAATAAATATTTTTTTTTTAAATATTATTAGATAATAATTTCTAAGTTTTATACGAGAACATATTTATTCAAAATTTACTTAACAAAATCTATATTTTTTATAAAATTATTTTGAATTTCCGCCTGTAGTTAAAAAATTTTAAATTTTAAAAATATTGAAAATAATAACAATAAATTATTATTATTTATATGAAAAATAAAATTTAATATTTATTTTTAAATATATCCGATTACATAGATTTTATCAAAATTATATTATATTCATTATTAAATGTAAAACAAAATTCATATTAAATCATATATGAAAATAAATTGTAAAAATAAAAAAATTAATATCAATTAAATAAATAATTTAAAATATATATATATATTTTTTTTTTCAGTAAAATTTAATTATTTTGATTTATAATTTATTTTTTAAAAATAGATAATTAATTATTTTTTTATTTTAATACAATTTTTTTTGTTATTCTCCTTTTAATTATCAATAATCGCTATTTGCAAAACTAATAAAATTCATTTATAAAATATATTTATAAAAAAGCAATTTTTAATCAAAATATGGATAATAAAAACATTGAATAAGAATAACAGCTTTAATAAATATAAAAACAATAATAATAGTCTAAACAACAACAAAAAATTAGAGAAAATAAACTAAATGAAAATCGCAAATAAAAAGAATGTTGTTAAAAATATAATGAATGCTTTTAGAAAATTTATACTTGATTCATAACTTAAAAATACTCCTAAAATGAACTAAAATATAGTTTATTTATATAATTAATCTGAAAACTCGTCTGAAAATTTAATGGATATAATAAAAAAATTCAAGAGATATATTAATTCTAAAAATTTTAATCATTACTCTATGAGATTACTTATGCTTCATTAGAATTATGGTCCTATTCTAGAATATTTTCTTATAGAACCAATTTATTTATGGGCAGAAAACAGTAAAGCAAATGATTTAGTTGGGCATTTTGCTATGGTAGAATTCATACTACTTGGATTTTAAGATATAAAATATATTGATGAATTAAAAAGAAAGTCATAAAAAAAATCACATTTTTCTTGAATAAAATAAAAATATAATTATATATGTATCTATTTATATAAAAATAAAAATTTAATTAATATATATTTATTTTATTTAATAATTCATAATAATAAATGAAATATTTTATTTATTTAAATTTTTATATTTATAAATTAATTGATTTAACTTAAGTTATAAATTAATAAAATCAAATATTTAATTAATAAATATTTATTTAATTTATAGAAATTGTTATTATATTTGTATACAAATAAATTAAGAAATAAATATATATAAATACTTTGAAATCGTATTTTTTTAATTTATAAATTAATATTTTTATTAAAAAGTATTATTTTTTATATTTTTAAATAAATCAATCATATATTATTTTTTTTATATCTAAATTTATATTAATTTTTAAAATTAAAAATTATTTATTTTATTTTTCTTTATTAATTTCTTTAAAAAATCATTTTATTTTTCTTTATTATTTGATTAATTTTACATATATTTTATATCTATTTAATAAATTTCTGTTACATAGGTTGGTTTTTATTTATTCATAAAAATTTTGATAGTTGATTTATTTAGTAATTTTTTTTAAAAAAAATCTAATTTACTTTAATTGTATGTTGCCATAATTAAATTTAAATGACTATTTTATAAATAAAAAAATATTTTATTTGTATATAATTATATATCTAAAAAGCATATATTATGTTTTTATATATTTTGAATATTTATGAATATTTTAATATTATGAAATTCATGTTTTTCATGTAAAATTTTATATGAAGAATAATGCATATTATAAAATTTGAATGTGATGTATATGAAGACATATTATTTCTAAAATTTTTAGAACTTTTTATTAAACTTTGATGTATATAATATATAATTAAAAATTTTAAATTTAATTTTTATTAAAATTTATATAAAAGAATTAATAAAATGAAGTTTTTTAGAGCAATTAAGAATATGATTTTTATTAAAATATGTATTAATTTTTATTAATGTTATATATCTAGCTCTTTAACAGTAAAATCAGTTTTTATTATATTTAATTAATTATTAATTTTTTATAAATCTTAATTTTTTAATTTCTAATTCAAAATATTTTTATTATATATTTAGAATTTATAATCTTTTCTTTAAATATTTTGTATTTGCTTTCATTTAAATTTTTAAATAAAATTAATTCTTTTATTATTTTTAATTAAATTTGTAATATTTATATGCTCGAAAAAAAAAATTAAAATATATAAATTAATTATTAAAAAAGAAGAAACAGAAAAAAAGTAAATAAGAATGAATAAAATTCTAATAGTAGCATTAATAGCTATCATAACAATATTAGCGTTTACAAATTTTATTTAATAAAATCAAAAATCTAAAAAAAATCCCATTTAATATGAAGATTTTAAAACTATAGCCTATATCAATAGAATACAAAGTTGGTATGGCGAAAGTGTTTTAAATAATCTAGGATTAGGTTCTAAATGCTACAATGTAATAATTCTCACTTTTTGGACTCCTAGTTGGATATCTGATTCCCTTTCGGTATGGCAAAATTTATATACTTATTTAGGAACAGATAAATATGGAAAATCAACTGCAATGGTTCAAAAATATTTATTAGATGAATTACATAAGTAAAATAAAAAATTATTTATAAGCGCTTTTGGTTCTACTTCTAATCCAACTAATTTAGATCCTGAAACTGTAGCATCATAATTGGCAGATTTTATAAACTAAAACCCTTATTTGGATGGAGTAGATATTGACTACGAAGATAACGATGCTATGCGCAAAGGTACTGCTGTAAATTGGCTTATCGTATTCTAAAAAGCATTAAGTTCAAAAGTGCAAAATAAAAATATAATTTTTACTCATGCTCCTTAAGCGCCTTACTTCTCAAGACAAGTATATAATGATTAAGGATACTATAAAATAGAAAAAGAAATAGGACATCTTATTAGTTGGTATAATGTCTAATTCTATAATTAATTGGAAAATAAATATGATACTTATGAAACATTATTCTTAGAAAGTGGAGAATTCTTTGTCTAATCTAGTTATAAGGAAATTATTGAGTTAGCTGAAATTCCTATTTAAAAGCTCATTTTGGGAAAACCAGCAGTCCCAAATGATGCTTCTAATACTGGGTATATTACTCCTGATTAACTTGGATAAATATGTAATAAAGCTAAAGGTGAACTCGGATATGAACTTCCTGGTTTTATGATTTGGTAATTTCTTTCAGATAATTAATGCAATTTTCATAATTAATTCATTAATAATTATTAACCTTGAAACAAGATATTATGTTATTTTTGATTTAGAGTTATTAAGAAAAAATATTTTCAATTTAAGAAAAATTAAAATTATTATTAATTTATAAAAATAAAATATATTTCTTTTTAATCTAAATTAAAAAAATATACATATAAAATAAAACAATTTTTATATGGAAATATTTTAATATTAAAGATGGTATACAATTTATTTTTTTATTTAATTATAAAATAGTATAAAATAATTTTTAATTTATATTTTTAATTAATAATTTTATAATCAAATAATATTAATTTATATAAATAATTTTTCATTTTTCATTTAATTATATTCTATATAATATAATATAATATAATTTTTACCAAAATTTTTATTTAATATTTTAGAAAATATAATTAAATTAATATAAATCATTCATAATTTACAAATTTAAAAATAATGTAAAGCAAAATAGTGAAAAGATAAAAATCAAATGAGGTCCAAACACAGCGAATAAAACTTGGAATACATTTATTTGATTCACCTTAAAATATTAGAAAAACTTCATTAAACCCTGTTGATGACTCGCCTTTAAAATTAAAGAGATCTATAAAATTATTTTCATCTTAATTAGATTTGAATAATTCAGAATAAAAGCATAATTTTAATGAAAATTAAAGTTTTTACAATAAATCAGATTTTTAAATTCGAAAAATTTAAAATTCTTAAATTAATTTAAAAATGAACGAAAAAGATAAATAATAGATAAATATTTAAAAGGAAAAACATATAAATGAAATAAAATATTAAATAAATAAATAAAAAACTAATTTTGAAAGGGTTGATAAAAAAAATACATCTATTATGTTTGAAAACAAAAAAGATGAATTATATAACAAAATATAATAATCGAGAAATAAATTTCTTGGCAGATAATTTATATTAAATAATGATTCGTGTCTAAGACTTTTATTGAAAGTTAAATAAACTCCTGTTTAAACTTATGGAGAGAATAAAAAAAATTGCAATTAGTTTAGTTATTATGAAAAAAATAATAATTTAAAAACTATTATAAAAAACAAAATTGCTAAAAACTTATAATATTTATCTCATTAAAAAAAAATTAAATAACCAAACAAATCCCAAAACAATGACTAAGAATATCAATGCGATTAAAATAAGAATTAATAAAGCTTGTAAGAAGATAATAATATAGATATATCTGTTTTGAATTTAAAAAAATTAATTAATAATTAATTTACATTTAACATTGTAAATTCTAAAAACATATTGGATAACGAAACAAAAAATTAAAACTTATCAAATAATTTTAAGAAGTAGAATTTTTTTTCACCTGAAAAATAAATAACAAACTATTCTATAAAGCTTTAAAAATAAATAATTAATTAAATACAATTAAGTAATAGAAATAAAGATATAAAAGCAATATATGAGAAAAAAATATTTAAAGCTTTAAAAATAATTAAAAATGAAATATAAAATTTAGATTAAACTTTTTATTAAAATTAATGTTAAGAATTCAATAAAGATTAGTTTTTATTTTATATTATGAATATAATTCAATAAAGCTTAGTAAATAAAAGAGAAAATATATTCACAGAATTTAAATTAACCGATTAATCTAAACAAAAAATTATAAATATTTGTGACAAAGTATTAATAGAGTAAAAATTAAATACTTAACAATTTTTTAATAATTTTAATTATTTAACTAAATATCTTTTATTACCAAAAAGCTTTATTGAAGCTTTAGGAGGATAACATAATATTAATTAAATTATATAAAATGTAATATTTGAATTAGATTAAACAAATAATTTAAAAATTAATGATTCATATATTTAAAATTAAAAATAAATAAATAAACTCATATATTATCTAATTCAGAATGATTTTATTAATTTTGAATAAGACTATGAAAACTTATAAAAATAAAATAACTTTAATCAAGTTTCATTCGAACGTTTTTATGAAATTAAAGAGTTAATATTAACTACTTGTTTAAAGGAATAGATATAAGAAAAATTAATTTATAAATTTTTAGAATAAATTGAATAAGCAAGATGCATAATATTTGGATATTATAAATAAACTTAAGAAATAACTTTTCTTAATTAAATAGAAAAATAAATATTAGAAAATAAACATATTTAAATATATTTATCAAAAAATAACGAATATGACGACTTTGCGAAAAATTGATTAATTTTATTTTGGTTTTGAAAAAATTGTTGAATTTGAATAATATCTTAAAAACATATTTAACACAAATTTCGAGTATGATTTGTTTATCTTTTATTTAGAAACTTTTTGTTTAGAAAATTTATGTTCTAATATATAATTATAAAATTAAAAATTTCATATTTTAAATATTGAATATAAGTTTGATAGTTTAAAGAAAATTAAAGGCCTTTAAAAAGATTAAGATTTAATGAATAACATTTATGACAAGTAAATTTTTTAAAAGAGATTTACTGAATTTGTACGTGAAGTGCTTCACTAACAAAAAGAAGAATAAAGCAAATTTTAATACTTTTTAGATTAATAATAAGATATCTAAAATTAAGAATAAACTGCTTTAAAAGCCATTTTATTTTTTATAGACTTTTATAATCAGTAATATGAGATATATTCAGTGTTTGATATTCTAGGAATATATAAACTTTATAATATAAAAAAAACAGAAATAAATGAATATATTTAATATTTAAAAAGATTTATGATAATAGAAATGTATTCATAACATCAAATTAAAAATTTGTTTAATTTTATATAAAAATATAATTAAATTCATTTTTGATATATAAATATATATATATATATATATATATATATATATATATATTATTAAAAATTATATAAAATATAAACCATTTTGAAATTTATTCATTAATATAAATAGAAATTAATATTAATCATTATATCTTGTAAAAATCAGAAAAAAAGTATTTACTGCTCTATGTTCTCTATTCATGTTATTTTAGTAACTTTAGTTTTTAATTTATTTTATTCTTTTGGATAAGAATATTCTTTATTTATTTTTATATGAATAGCATAAAACTGCTATATTAGAGTAAAAATTATAATTAAATTTTTTACACTATTTCTTACTGTTTGATTTTTATCTTTTTTAATATGTTCTTTCATGAAAAGAACTATCGTATTATTTTATTCACAATATGATACTATTTTTGAGTCCATTTTAAATATAGATACAATTTATTATGATGATTAAGAAATTAAAATTAATTGAAAAAATTAAATTTAGAAATAATAAAATATTTAAATTGAAATATAAATAAAATTAATATTTTATTTTTTAATTTATTTAAAATATATAAGTTTTAAAAGTTTTTAAAAATAATTTGTATAAAATAGTTAAAAATTATTGCTTATATATTTTTAAACTATAATTTTATATATTTTTAAACTATCATTGAATTTTATCTTTTAAATAACTTAAGTAGTTAAAAAGAATTTAATTTTCCCTTTAAATATAGCTTTTATAATGTTAAAGCGGTTTAATATCATAATCAATAATAGCTATTTTATAATACAAAAATTATTACTAATCTTTAACAACTTCAAAACCATTGTTATAATGAAAATTTTAATCATCAAAATAAATATTTTGTAAAATCGATAAATCTCTGAAAGCCAAAGATAATAAAAATTTGATAACAATTTTAAATGAATAATAATATGTATCATTATCAATATTTTTCAAATCTTATTAAATTAGATTTTATTTATTTTTTAAGTCATATGTTTCGGCTTCCTTCCTTATTTCAGAGAACAACTTTTGATAAAAATCTTCTTTTTAATTATAATAAAACTCGAGATTATTTATGACAAATTCGTGAATTTCTTTAATTAAAATAGGTTTTTCATTAAAAATATATATAAAATTTAAAACATTATCTATAATTTTTTAAAATTCACCTGTTTTAATTATAGAATCTATTATTATTTAATTTAAATTTTCAGATTTATTAAAATTATTAATAATTAAATTATTTTCTGGTGTTACTAAAAGGTTAGTTAAAACTTGTTTTATATTTTTTTAATAAAATAAACTCTATGGATCATAACATGATAATGCTTTTTAATCCTTTATTTTTTACTTTTTAAGCAATTAAATTTAAAAATACCTAGTTTTTTCAAAATCAGTCGTACAATTATATAATTCTAAAATTTTCTCTTTTTAGACAAACTAGCTAAGGTTTTATTATAATTATTATTCAGAATAAAGTTAAAATAATGGAGATTTAGGTTTTATTTCAACTAAAAAACTAACTGAATTTTAGTTATTACAATAATTATGATTCATATTAACAACTATTTCTATTTTTTGTTATAGATCTATTTATTTTTCACTTCTGTTTTCAGGTCTTTGATTTTTTATTTTTTCATTAATTTAATTTACAAATTCAATGAATTAATTATATAAATGATCCCATTTCAATATTTAGGCTTTAAGAGTATATTTTTATAATAATTCACTTTAATTATATAAATACTTTAAGCTGTAATCATGGATCGAATTATTTATTTATTTTAAATAAAGTTCTTTTTAATCTTCTTATTTTTTTTATAATTAATCTTTTTTATTAAATCTAATCAGAAATCCATATAATTTGTTTTATCTTTAATTACATTTTATAAGCAGATGTTAGTTTCCTTCTCTAGCATATTCCCAATCATTTATGTTTAATTATTCTTCTTCTATTTTATAGAATTAATCGTTCATTAAATATTAAAATTTTATAATAGTTATTTTTTAAATCTTATGTTAATAATTAAAAATAAAAAATAAAAATAAGAAAAATAAATTAATTAATAAAATATATTAAAAAAAACTTTATTGATAGATTAATGAAATTTTAATTAAAAATATTTAAAAATAATATAATTAAATATTTCCATTTTTTTTTATTCTTATATTAATAAACATTGTTTCTTATTTGAATATATTAAATTATTTAATTAATTAGAAATATTTTCTTTATATTATATTT